CCATTCCATGAGTAATTATTGACTTATCCAAGGCTAATTAGCTCTTCCGTTTAAAAACCCAAAACAATCCTAATTTTAAAAGTTTAGATTTTCCTTAATATACTATTTATATTTATATAGCTACCTAGCCACATACCGTATTCTTGTTTGGGTGCAGTCACACCATGCACATCGTGTGACACACACGAGATGTGCAATTTGTACTCTGAATGTAACTGGGTTACGTGTAACCCCGTTATATTTAGAGTACAATTTGAGTTTCCACGTAACCCCGTACCTTTTGCGAAACTGGACTGGTGTATAGATTGCTGTGCAGGTCGTTTTTGACTCGCTAACTCGGTAATGTTGGGATTTATCGAGGTACCGAGCCAAGCCATTTTAATATTAGACATAAGCACAATTGCATATGCCAAACGTCTTCACTATATAATTTTGTATGATTAAAAAGAGTAAATTATCATTTTAAATTTCTGTGGCTTCCGCCCATAGTGGAATTCTGTCCATATTACCACGGAATACCTGTAAAAGGTTTGAACGATTCAAGACACGAAGTTGATCTACGTACCCATTCATTTTCTTCTCTGGCAGCATTTTGAATCTTGATTGAGAGGTCAGCGACCTCATTTCGGCGCATTCTTAATTCTTTTTTCAGCGTCTTCACCGAACGATGTTCGTACTGCTCCAGCTGGGCTTCACTTTGGCGCAGACGAAATACCTCGGCTTTAAGCTGCTGGATCTTTACCTTTTGTTGACGGATTTCGTTCTAGAAACACACAGGATTTAAGTTAGAAAATTGATTTTTCGGCGCTTAAAGATACAAACCTTTTGCCGTTTGTCATTGAGTAACACCGTTGGTTGGACCTTAGCTTTGCGGCACAAATCATTGAATTGATTGTCGTCTAAAATGTGCACATGGTGCGCAGCAAAGTCTTCCGCGGAGGATTTGGAACCCTCGATTGATCCAATTCTAACAAATTTATGACAACACCATTAAACATGTTTAGTGATAACACTTAATTTGTAGAATGCATTCCTTCAGGTACAAATTAGTTGGTTATATGTATCTGAGCCAGCGTAGGTAACAGGGGTTGCATACATTGATTGCGTCTGAGATAGATAAGCCAGCTTACTCTCGCTGCTCATGGGATGATGAAATGTATGAGCCCATTTGTGGCTCCTTGTACAGTCACAAGAACTTCTTTGTATCTCGTCACCATTAGCTTTTGTATGCTTTTTGTTAAACGAAGCTTCATTCTGTGAATCGACCTCGGTGCTATCGTTAACGCCACTCGAAGCTGTTGAGTCCATATCAATCCAAATATGACAGTTGTTGTAATTCCTGAGATCTCTGGCAATACCATCAAATCATTGACGCAAATCGCAAAATTTTAGAGATCGATGACGACGATGAAATCGAGAAGGGTTGAAAGTTTGTCACTATATACAACGAGAAAGAAGCCACCGGTTAAACCAATCAGGCGCCAGCTAAAATTTGACTTTCTTGTCTCACAGTCTAGACATGAGGAATGTACGGTTCTATTGCAATTACAACACTTTGCTTGTCAACTCAGCAGAAATTCCAAACTATTCTTTATCCAATTAATTATATTATCTATCTTGTCAAGCGATGGTGAGCACGGAGACTGCTATTCATTGCATCAATCTACAATTTTGTGCAACAATGATAACACATTAAATGCCTTTGACCTTCCCATTAGATTGCTGATCGTACCCATTCTTGTTCCTCCTTCACCGCTTCTCGAACCTTTTCTGTTAGATCAGTCACTTCCTTTTCATGCATTTCTAGCTCTTTTTTTAAAGACTCAATCGACCGTTGCTGGTACTGTTGTGTCTGCAATTTTATATCCTCCAAGCGGGTCAACTCGGCTTGTAACTCAAGAACCTGAGCCTTTTCCTGTCGTGCCTCTTCCTACTTACATTGTCATTTGCTCAACTTTATGGTTAGGCACACACAATCTATACACTCTATCTACACACCTTTTTTCTCTTTCGATAGCGGCGTGATGCCGTCTGCATTCGCAATTTACGACGTAAATCATCAAACTCAGCAGAGTTCATGACATGAACACGTTCGCCTGTTGGTGAGACTTTTGATTTTCCACTTGAAGGCGAGACCTTTGATTTTTTCTTATACGGCGATGAAGGCGATCTAGCCATAACATCTGCAGGTGCAAGTGGAATTGCGATTGGGAAGTCACGAAGTTTTATTGTGGACGTACTTGCAGATATTGTGGACGTGATTGATTCGAGATCCTCGCCAAAAAGTTGGAACATCTGTGCGTTACTATGTGCCGATATATTAATCACAAGAATCAGTCTAGGCCAAACGATGTCATTCAATAGACCAAGACGCGTACGTTAGCTGTAGAGACCATGATGATCGATGATAGGGTGGTGGTAGCATGCTCTGTGCGGGTAGCCGAGGAACTCCAGATACGCGAACACTTGACATTGAAGGAATGTGCCTGCTTTATCAGCTATTTAGCACAAAAACTAACAGACTCAAGACAAGAGGTTCATACATTGAATTCCGGGAGATAAGATCATCTGTTTCCTGAACCTGTTCGACTGAGGTCTGGGTCGGAATTTTCTCCTCGTCAAAAACGTGTGTATTCCCGGTGAAATCTCCCTTCTCTCCACTACTCCTCGTATCACAACTGCTTTGCATATCACCAACCTCGTCAATTTCATCAAAAGTGTGGCTAGTTACGGAATTACGACGGTGCCCAAAGACAGAGGACCCGAATTTGCTGTCTGTTGTGATGCTAGCTGTCGTTGATACACTTGCAGGTGTCGCCTCGTCTCTATTCGGGCTATCTGCGGCCAGAAGCTCCAGTACCTCCTCCATCATGGCTTGATCACTCGTACTGAGATCAAGGTGGTGAGCGGGTTGCCGCCACTTCATGCACAATTCTCCAACTCAGAAAAAAAATTCTGACGGATGGAAAGTGAAATGGAGAAACCAACGCATTTGACTACCCAGAAAGCTTAAAGTGAAGTCGTGCTTCGAGCGAAGGAATCTGGGACGGAAGTCGAGAACGGGATGCAAATTCCGAGACCGTTGAGAAACAGGACATTTTTTACTAAATCGCTAACGAAACGTGCCCGTTCGATAGACCTTGTCATCTTGCCTGTTTGATTCTAGTCGTGTCATGACTTTTCAGGACCATATTCAGAAACAAAAAAACGGCCGATTCAGAACAGTATCACAGTTGGAATGCAGCCGTCGGTACTTCTCAGCCTGGTCTCATGGAATATATAGTTCATAAAATGCTCATCTTGAGAAATTTTGCTTAATTTATAGCTGAAAAAAATTGTTTCACTATCCAATCATACATAATCTGGTCCTATTGACAGCATTCCCCTTAAGGTGACAAAGCTTGAGCTGACATTTTGTTGTCTAGATGCAATCGTACTCATTGAATTAGTCACAGATGATGTCACGCATAATCGCAAACTATAATATCGATGTGTTTACAGCAAAGTAGAGCTCAAAATACATGCATCACGGCTTTGTGTTTGAATTTACTACTTAAGATTACGTAGTAATCAATGCATCCATCTGTCATGTCAGAATGCGATTGCAATAACAATATTCCCTATCACCAACGCAGCGTCCCTTAGTGGGGATGCTGCAGCGTTGGTCTCCGTCCCTCCGTAGCATGGAATAGCGCTGGAAGGAATTTGTGTGAGAGCTTCAAGGAGATCATTGTATGGTTCTTGCCAAGAAGACGTCTGCATCAGCCCGTAGTGGGTTACTGCGAAAGTGCCACCCTCACCGTCTTCGGAATCTTCGAGATATAATTGCGTGTTGGGATTTAATGCGTAAAAGTACCCTCCTTGAACTGAGGCTGCAAAATCGATCAGATACTCGAGCACGGCCGTTTGATGAGGTTGAGCTTTTCCGTAGACTCCGCTAAATGCTCCAAGCACTAGAGAAATATCAGGATTCTGAGGTAAATTACCCAATGCTTCTGTCATGACAGCCTCGTAATTCCTTAAAGTTGCTTGAATCGAAATGTGCTCATACATGCTGCATGCAACTTGAGAGTCTCTACAGGGAAGCTTACTCTTCGTTTCTGTGCCATTGATAAAATCAACACATCGTGTTTCTTTCTGATCTGCAGTCAGATCAAGAGACTCAAACTGTTCAATGTCATTGGTACAGTTGGACGAAGGTTCGTAGAAGTAGTTTTTAGGCTCCACGCCGTGAGCATGGGCATGTGGTGCATATACAATTTTGTTTCTAGTGTTAACTTGCAACGGGTTGAGTGTGGCGTTCTTAAGGTTGCCACCATTCCAATGGGTGCTCAATCCATACTTCTCGTTGACACGAAAGCGTTGAGCATCAGTGTACGAACTAGCTCCCCCGACAAAGATTAGCCACTGGGGACAACGCTGGAGGACAGCATTGGCTAAAATCCCTGCAGCATTGTGCCAGTCGGTTGTTTCATCCGAATCCGCTGGGTCGGCCTCCCAATGTGCTCGCATCATTTCGTCCTTAAGATCAATTCCTATGACATTCCAGAATCGAGCACCGCAAAGCTTTTCTGCGAGAATTGTGACCGCCTTGTATGTTCCAGACTTTCTGACATCTACATAAGGATTCGTATACCAAAAAGCATCCTTTTCGTACTTGGTCAATCGATGGATATCTAAAAGTACTGTCAACTTTCGATCTTGCAAGGTTTCAACGACACGAGCAAGAAAATTGATATAGTCGACATTTTCCGGGTCTTCCCAGGTCGTAAGCTCCGGATTTTCAAAAGCGTGAATGTATGTGAGTTGAGGATCGGGATTTTTGATTACATAGTCGGCATTAAGTGATAGTCGAATGGAGTTAAAGCCATTTGAATCAAGAAAGTCTTGCAATTTCGAAATGGTAGTGGCTTGAGTTCCCATGGAGTTAGGACTCTCCGTGCCCCAAAGTCCGTCTGGAATCATATCGATCGTCTCCATACCACCCCATGTAACTCCCTTGATACGAATTTCAGTTTGTATGGATTCATCATTGGGATCCACTGCAAAGATCTTTCCACCTTTGGCCAAATAGTTGGGCTGCCTACACTCTGTGCGAAATAATAGCATGATAAGTCTCACATAATAGAACGAATGAATGTTGTTGCGTAACGTACGCATGAATCCGTAAGCTACATGAGTGACAACAGCTGCAGCCAAAACTGCAAACGAAAGCCACATGACCAAATGAATTTGTTTGGGGGCGTCGATTTAAGTAGAAATGAGAAGTTTAAGAAATGGTGGCAGGAGATGGTCGGAAAATCTTAAGACACATGATGCATGCTTAACACCGGCAAAGATACGACGTTGTTGAAGTTGAGTAGTGATTATTTCTTTTACAACGGATATACATGAAGGTGAGTATGAAGTGTATGTTTTATCGTAGTCATTCGTCATTTATAAAGAGGGCGATCGTAAGTGTAGGTGATTTACCTTTACATTTTGAAGTGATACTAAGGAAATGATCGTGGCGTTACATGAAAGGCAAAAAGTTGGTTGGGACACCGCTTTGTGATTGTTGGCTGTTACGACGTTACGATGTGGTTTTGATTGACTTGAAAACTTGATTAAATGTAGCTAGATATGAACACTATAACAAATATATTGTTCAAGTCATTCTATCGCAATTACAGTTGTGTTGCTAGTTTAGTATCTTTGATAAACTCCACCGCAAATATCACGATTCGTAGAATTTCTTAAAATAGGTGTTGTTGCGCTTTAAGCGAGCTCAACATTTTGTACAGAATATTGCGACTTGTGATGTAGATGCGATAGCGTCCAGACCACAACTTTCTGTGAGATGCCATGGGTAGAGATGGTGTTAACGACTTTAGAAACCTGCTCATTTCTGACAACACAACACATGACATGGTCAAGACGAGGTTATTTACAAGACGCCAAAAGTAGCAGTTCCTTTGTTTTGGCTTCGCTTAAAGTTTCGATACCCCAATTTTCCTGACACACAAAATAATGCTGGCTGATTACATCACTTGACAGCCATGGTCCCTCGTTTTTATCATGAGTAGGCTATGTCTATATATCAGTTATCCTTTCACCATAATTTTAGCAGCGAAGAGACATTAATGACATCAAACGATAGAAACTGCATCATATTCAGATAATGAACTACTTTTCTCCGAGTTATTTCTCTGGCCAAAAGGACATGTATATCTAGCTATAGAAATGGCGTCATTTGAAGGGGCCCCAATCGAGGATAAAAAGTTGGATTTGAAAAACGAAGACATCTTTGGAAGTTCCCGTGAAGACGCCGCAGAGGTAGAGTTTGGCATCGATGGAAACCCAAGGTGTGAACTACCTACTTGAATCCACGTGCGTATGTCTCTAAACACATAATCAATTTGAAGCAAGTTTTTTGGTGACGACATGTACTGAAATCACCTGATGTATTTATCAGCAAAATGAAGACAAATCATAGAGAAGTCGAACTACTTACTTCTTTGATATTACTCTTTATCTTGTCATTGGTGGCGGTGGTATCATTCCTACTGGTGGAGGAGGGGGAGGTGGATACGCCATCCCCATCGCTGCAGGAGGTGGAGGCGGTGGCACCATTCCCATGCCCATATAGCCTGCAGCACTCTGATTGAAATGAAGAGGTGGGGGAGGTACGTCCATGTAAGGAGCAGCGCCAGTTGTAAAGGCGAACATTGTGTGAGGTTTGAGCTTGTTTGGATTTGACTGAGCCAGTAATCTTTCAGCCTCAGAGCCATGACGTTCGTTCTGACTATCTTTCTTAAAAGCGTACTGCACCACCACTTGTCGATTGCAAAGGTACTGACCGTGCATACACTCGATAGCTAAGTCAGCTGCTTCAAACGAGTCAAAGCTTATAAATCCAAAGCCTTTACTGGCTTTAGTGTCTGGGTCACGCATGATCTTAGGGGTCTCAACGATACCCCCAAAGGCCGAAAAAGTGTCATACAGTAGCTTTTCGTCTACCTCTGGGTCCAGATTGCCAATAAATAAATTAGCGCCGACGTCCAGATTCTTCCTGTCGTTTGACGCTTTTTTGACGCGAATCACTCGTCCGTATAACTGAATCATGTTCAGCACTTTAACTGCGTATTCAGCGCACTCTTCGGATCGAAACTCTACAAAGCCATAATTCTGGTGAGCGCCTGAGACCTTGTCACGGGGCATGTGCACGTTACACACACTTCCTGCCTGTAGCATAAGCTCCCAAAGAATCTCCTCAGTCACGCGATCGTCCAGATTTCCCACATACACAGTTGCATCTTGGTTGCGCTGCTCGATCGCGGCCGACATTCCCGATTTTTACTGTTGTGGGGACCACACTGATAAACTAATTTTTTCGAGCGCTTGATTTATAATCATTAATGTTAGTCATGTTGTTTAATTTTCTTGCATAGGAGCAAGACAGAAATAATTTTGCTGCAGCAATCATCACGCCTTTTGCACTGGTATACTAGTGTCTGACACGATACATAAGCGTGTAGCTTACAGTGTTAGAACTCATACATTTCGTTAAAGTTTGTGATGCAGCAACCAATATTCAAAGCAAACAAAAATCATTCATCTGCCCTCATGGATACCTTTTTTTCTTAAGTTCCATAACGAACTACCACCTGCCATCGAACTGCAGCTTACAACCTCAGGTGTCGAGAATAAGTCTCGTAGTGTTGATATCTTATTAGCTCAAAATTCTTGTGTAACAGCCACTTCACCGCCCAATCCATCATATCATGTCTTGTTGCCCATGCTGACCCCGTTCCGACCAGGACAGTCCTGTTCGTGTAAGCGGAGAAACAATTTGTGACGTGGCGTGGAGCCGTCATTGTTCGTGAATGTCGGTGCTCTTGTGATTGCCTTGGCACAGTCGGTGCTGTTGTGTTGTTGGTGATTGCACAAAGACCCTCTTCATAACCTCTTACTCCCATGTTGCAACGGGTACCTGGAGCTCTACTAGATTCCACGATTAAATAAGTTATTATTAATGGCGTCAAGGTCACCGTTATTTTCTCTTCTAATCATCTAAATGACTCAAGGTATACGAGGCAATGAAATACCCATACAGCCAGAAGTCAGCTACTACGAACAAATACCATCATGAACCAATTCGAAGGATGAACAGGAATTAAATATCATGATAAACCGGTTTCGGCGTCTTTAGATGAAGGCGTGTACCATGTCGGTGCGGTAGTCTCACATCTCCTTAAAATATACCGTTTTCTACTGAAACAAACGTTTTTGAGCCCGGAGCAGTACGTACTCTGCCTTGTTTGCAATTATACGTCATTCTTCACCCATACTTGTCAGCAGCTCCGATTCAGTACTTGTCGTTACTAGAACACCTCCAGCTTTATCAGTGTCGCTTCCTCCCGGCTCTTGTCTATCAAACAGGATGTGGTGCTTACTTGACCAGCGCGTAGGTGCGTTGTTCAAGACAGCTCATGATAAAATCTCTACTTATCAGTCTGTGAGTTTTGTGTGCGTTATATGTATAGTCCAATGGCAGGTGTCTCATATCGTGATTTAGCGGTTTGCTGTGCACCCTGAGCAGAGGAAGCTTTGACTAAAAATATAACTTCTATTCTGCATAGCATGAGACGAATATCACGGATTTATCCTTTCCAAAGCACCTCTTATCAGTGCTACGTATCTGCATCTGAGATTGGAAGCCAGAAGCTGCAGTGAGCTAGGGTCTCCGGGTGAAGCGAGCAATGCAAGCGGATATCCCGGTTGGATCACTGCCGAGGAATGAATGAGCGATGGTATGCCGTACTCCCCATTGGGTATCGCTGGTATAGAAATAAATGATACTTGTAATCTGGTATGATTTGATGGAAATGAAGAGCGACTATGTGTCGCTGTCCTTGGTGGAGAATCATGCGCTGTTGTGTACAGAAAAATCGTCACGCACAGATGGCAAAATGTTCATCCTTCTTTGCCGCGAATACTTTCGAGAAATACACAAGCCTGGCCGGCTTAAATAGTGATGTATATGCTTTGCGTCTACTTGACTAAAAACTGACGCATATCTTAAAGGTGGCGTCATAAATCGATACTGTAATAGATACAGCATCTGAAAAGATGCAACAGTTGTTAGATTGTTGAAAGCAATGTATTCTGTGAAGTCGGGTGCTCTATAACACAGCATGAAGTAGCGCGTTTTTCTCGCTATTCTTTGTCGCTCGAAAGACTTGCATCAATGCCCCGCTACACACGCAGCGCGTGGTGGGACCTCATGATGAGATGATTAAGTACAGAATACAGTACGAGGCGCATGAAAACTTCCTGCGAGGCCACTTCGGTTAGAAGACGATGGACTCAATGTACGCTATTTAATTGCGGGTCATCATGTACACATGAGTATGCACTTACGTGCACACGTACGAGGCATGTCAAAAATTAATTTTTCGCCACATGCGTCGACATACTTGGTCAGTCGAAATACTGCCAGTTCATCATTAGCTTGAACTTTGTTTTTGATCTTCAAAAAAGGGTGTTTGCAAGACCGGCATAATACCCTTTTAAGAGATCGGAGCAAAATGGCTCATTTCGCTTTCGTCAAATAACGAGAGGATACAGTCGAGCTGCACGATTACATATTTCGCCAATATGGCTCGTCAGCGGCCTCTATGTCGGATGGAGATCTGCGTTTTACAGCGATGTTTTGTGAGCTTTTTAAGAGTGCTAAAAGCCAAATTAGACATGTCCACCGCTGTAAATTTGCAGATGAACGCTCCTGCGTAGTGCGATATTTGTGTAGCGGATGAATTTCGTCAAAGTACTTGTGCGGAAACTACACTGTGCTACGCGAAGCATTACCACTTATTGACTACAATACATCTGAAGACCTTACCCCACTCAAATACAAATTTGGATGATCATCGTGTTCCTTCGACATCACCAAACTGTGACGCCGGTCTTGGCGGGAGAGTTTCTGCCAATACGTTTCTATTTGATGATATCAGCCTGTTACAAAACTTTATTGTTTCTATCAATGAATTTGGGTCATATGCACCGATTGCTCAATGCAATGACCGAGAATTAGGATACAAGAAAATAGCCTCTCAAGGTCAGAGGTAGACAAGAAACTACATGAAATGCAGTAAGGACAAATTGTCTGTTAATTTCTGCGGGTTCTAGAAAACTTAGTTGCGACCACGCTATATTGGACCGTTCATGCTTGTCGCAAAATTGAACCTTTAACGTTCCAAAGAGAATGCGAGCACATTCTGTGTTTTATGGGATTTGCTGAAGTCATTTACGGTTCCACTGTTTCGAGCAAATAAGATTTGAAGTGCTCCGTTAGAGACGGAGAATCATCACCGCTATCCCTGAGGCGAGCTACTACAGTTCAAGAGTAGCGATACATTTCTGTAGTGCGTGACTAATGACCAATCGTAACATCGGTCTTATACCGACATTTCCGGAAAGAGCCGACCTACCGCAACAGCCGAGATCGCTTATGTGAGTCAGTCGCTGGAGTTTGCTGCTGGCAATGCTCAATGAGCAAGAGGCCATCCACTTCCAGGTGAAACGGTTTGTGGGTGAATGAGTACATCAGGGATGTTATCACTTTCCATACTTCAAAACGTCATGAGAGGCTGAGGTTTCAACTCGTCAAGAGTGCCATCTAATTGCTGTTAATGACTCATACCCTGAAAAAGAGACGGGGTCGCCTAACGCACCGTGCTTCCCATCAGCGAGTCAGATGCACTCTTGTACAAATCTTGACATTTGGTCGGTTGCAGTTACATTTTGAGTCAAATGATTGATCGCGACTGTCAGCGGCTCGCTGTCGGGCTAGTGATTATCACCTCAGCGTTTACGTCGTATTGTGTACATCGCAAAATAACGTATTAAGCAAAGCTCTAGTGGGATGTTTGCTTCACTAAATCAAGCTTGAAAATTATAGACGAGTGAAACTTCGTGCCTTCCCCACTCAGTTCGCAAAATGAATGCGATGCTCTTCGACACTATCGCCAGCATTCAGTGCCATAGTTACAGCCACCGCCGCTGGCCTAAATACTGGTGTAAGTGGTGATTTGCGGGGTTAAACGCTCTCGGAGTGACAATGGGCTTTTAAAATTGTCTTTGGGCTGACCTAAAGGTCTTCTCAAATAAGAGTGTAAGGGCTTCCCCTCGGCGAGGCGTGCAGCATCAGATAAATTCATTGCATTGTCACGGCGTGGTCGAGTAGTAAAAGATACTATGACTCCTTGTAATTGGCTACACAAGCTCGGCTCAAGGCCCTTCGGCTTCTCTAGCTATTGCCGAGAAGCGCGGGGCGTCCGACGACGCAGAATGAAATGATCCCTTGGATGATAAGCGTCCACGACGTCTGGGCAGTCTTGCCGAAGTGGCACTTCAAACCTCAACAAGTTCTCGAGGATGAGGTATCCCCGCTACGTCAAAAGTTACTAATTTTGACCCTGGCGACGACGTCGACCACAAGATGTTCCACGTGATAGTAGACACCACCATTCTTGTCGAGAAGAGTCGGCGGCGGACGGGTCGATAGCCGTTCTGTGACTTGCGATACTCTATAAACTCTTGAGGGCGATGTCCATTTCGATCGAGACTCCGCTGAGCATCATGCTGGGATCACATACCGCTGCGCGGAGGACCTATAGAGCTTGGGCACGTTGTGCACCGGCTGCCTCACGTTGAGGCCTACCGCGCTTTATTGGAGCGGCTCCTAGCCGTTGAGCAGACGAATGCTTTGCTTCATGCGACGGTGGAGCGCTTGACGCCGTTTGAGATGAAGATCGCTGCTCTTCGTGCTCAAAACCCGTTACTGGTTTAGCTTCTGGGCGGTAGAGCGCCTGTGAGCGCTACTCCAGCGTCAACGCTTCCGCTTGCACCGTATTCCTGTACGATTTAAGCAAGCCCACATAAAGCACTTGATGGGTGCGCATCCATCTCGGAAGGTTTAGCGTATACGCAAGGCTCCGCTTGGCCCCACCTTGAAGGATCCAATAAATCGTGGACAGAGCTTCGTCTCAAGAACAGCAGAAATGGCATGTGCAGGAATGTTTTGAGTATTAATAATACCAGGTCTCCGACCTCGATGATTCTAACATTTCCTTTATCCCGTCCGCATATGCATTCTGCATGTCTTGGCTTTCGACCATCGCATCGCGAACGTACTCAGCCTGGTAGAAACTAAGTCTTTGATGTCTTTACGGACAGTGAGAAGGCTGATATCAGCTAGCCTCTCGGCTATTCCTCCCCCACCAAGCCTTGAGCCATGGAAGGGCGGCATCAGCGGGTACAAGAATTAGCAAGTCTGTTCACGTAGAAGGGCGTGTAGCTGGTAGACGAATGCATTGCATTGTCCGGAGCAAACTCGACGAGAGGCAACATGGCGCTCCAGCTTCTCGGAGGCTCAGCGCAGACGCTCCACGACGACGCGATTCACGCGCTCAGTTTGACCATCGGTCTGCGGATGATCCGATGTTGACATAGTCAACTCAGTGCCCAGCACCCTGAAGATTGTCGACTAAAAATTCCCAGCGAAGCGTGAGTCTCTTTTGGAGCCAACTGACTCCGGGGGTCCATGTTGTCGAAAGACACGATCGAAAAAAAACGTCGCTGTACCCACACCGTCGATGTGTCCGGCATCGCTGCAAACTAATACTTCTTGCTCAGACGGTAGACGAAGACCCCCGACACGCGAATTGTCCGATGAGCCCTTCGGCAGGCCAAGCACAAATTCCATACTCATGGACTGCCAGCACCCGGAGGGTACCGGCAAACTGGCCATCGGCAACGCCGCATTCGGAGAGAGTTTCAGCCTTTGACACGTCCGCACATATGTCCTCGTCCATTGATACAGCTTGGGCCACCAATAGTGGCAACGCACAGAGCTGTAAGTCGTCTCACGACCAAGATGACCACTGAATGGGGTGTCGTGGGACTCATAGAGGATATGGTACTTCAAGTCCTCATCGCGAGGAACCACAAGTCGTGGCGTATTTGTCGAATCGGTGCTATCATACAGCAATCCATTAAGCAATGAATATCAGTGCGACCGAGCACGCGGTCGCGACGACATCTTCTTGCTCGAGTTCCAACGCCTTGCTCCCGAGAGCACGTAGCAGCACTACATACATATCATCACCCGCGTACGCGGCACGAATTATGTCATGGACGACGTCACCGTCGGGACATGAGCAAGCTCATAATCCGGTCTGCGAGACAATGCATTTGCCAAAGCATTCTGCTTTCCTGGCTTATACTTCACCGCAGAGTTACAATCTGCAAAGTAGGATAGCCATTAATCTATCCTTTGCGAGAGATGAGGCGACTGAGTCGCAGTGCGTAGTGCGTAGTGACGCATGATCTGTGTTGATCACCCACGGCTTGGAGCCGAGCAGGCGAACCCTGAACCTGGCAAGTTCATACTACATCGCAAGTAATTTTTTTTCGTGATTTGGGTGGTTCTTCTTTGCAGCCTTGAGCTGTCGAGATTTGAACGCGATCACCCTATCTCGTCCCTCAGTGTCTGCTTGCAGCAATGCACAACCGAGGGCATAATCCGAAGCGTCACAGACGACACTGAAGGGACGATCAGGGTCTGGCAACGCCAGTATTGGTGCATGAAGGAGGCTGTCTTGACCCCGTCGAAAGCCTCCCGATGCTCGGTGTCCCAACACCATTTCGCGTTCTTCTTGAGGAAATTCGACAATGACTGTGCCGTCTCTGCATAGTTTTCGCTGTTCTTGTGCAAGTAGTTGGCGAGGCCAAGCCACTTGCGCAAGTCATTTTTGTACTTTGGAACCGGTCAGTTCATAATCGCCTTGACCTTAGCGCTTCCCGATGAAGCACCCTAAAGAAGGGGATTTTTCCCGCGCCAAAGATGCACTTGTCTGCAAAGGTATATAGTTTATTCGTGCGTATACACTGGAGCACCGCTTTCAAGTGGACGATGTGGTTCTATTCATCCGTCTTCCTATTCTCTGCACGACTGTGGACGAAGATGTCGTCGTAGTATGTCTGTGCATACGCGTGGTGGAGCCTGAACAAATGCGTTACAACACGATGAAATGTTGCCGGAGCATTTAACAGCCCTTAGGCATCACCCACTTTTAGAGCATGCCGCCTAGGAGTACGCACAGCTGTCAGCAGAATAACATTCGTTCTCATGAGCAACTGAGCACATGGTAATACCTATCGACCAAGTCGATTGCACTGTTATTTATATATCCAACTATGTTTTTGTGGAGACTTCTTTTCAAGAAACGGTGTCTGTGCCGGAATGGTGACAGCGTTCAGCTTATTGTAAGCGTGAACAAGGCGCTTCTTGCCGTTCGAATTCCGGACACAAAATGTGGGTGTCGAATAAGGGGACTTGCTCTCACGCACCATTCCCGCCTCGAGCTTTGCACCAAAGAAGGCATAAATGACGTCACACTGCTCATTAAGCTGGGGCCATTGGCGTGTTACGCACTATTTGGCCCTCGGCACCAGGTCGATCTCATTACGAACATATCGGTCCGGGGGTAGGACCGACGGCGATTCTTTGGAGAAGACGTTTTGAGATTCCTTTACCATGGGATAGTACGGATTCGAGTAATCCTTCAAGATCGATGATACACTTCGTGCGCTTGGCACCCTCTTGGTGTCCTCCAGGACAGCTTCATCTGGAAGCGACGACGAGATAATAACTCGTGCGGTCGTACAATGACCACCGCGGCAACATTGCCTGCCTTAAAGGCACACACTCTTCGAAGGACATCCCGTCTAGCCCAAGAAGAGCATCTACCTCGGGAATAGCCTCGAGGATGACGTCGCCGTCTTCCTTTCCAGCCGTACCGTTGACAAGGGTGTGTAGCTGTGCGCGATCGTTTACGGTAGACACACGCTGGGTCAGGGTAGACCTCCATTGTCTTGCAGACAACATACGACATCGCCGTCTCCTCTATAGAAGTTTACCGTCTTATCGAGACCAGTGGGAACATGCACTGAGCGTCGTACAGTGATCCAAATTCCTGCTCCATCTTGATGTTATTAACAACATCCAACGAAGAGCTGCTAGCTTTGCAGTCTTTGTTTAGTAGATACGTGCCACTCTAAGCGCATCGGAAGGGTCTCGCCCTCGATGCATCGGCGCTTGGCCGACCATGCCACTCTTGGCATGCATCAACTGCTTCGATACTTGAGCATACTCAGTTCGTGACGTGCCACTCCAAGTTCATCCCGTGGCGCCATGCTCGGGACTCTTGTCTAATACACCTTCGGTGTTCGACAACTCGAATACTTTGATATCCAGTACATTGACCATCCCGATCCAGGGCCCGCGCCAACAGCGTTTCTGCTTCTTAGCTGAAGCGGGTTCATGACTCACCAAAGCTCCACCAGGAAGTTGCGCGTAGCGCCCAAGGTCTTCGACCTTCAATCAAACCATGGCTCATGGAGTTTTAGCCATGCCATATCAAGGATGAGGTCATACCTTGAATCAAGTCTTAGACTAAGCAGCGTTCAACACTATCAGAGTCAAGAAACTTGACACCAAGGTCCACAAGAACCTTCGGCTCCGTGTCACATATCCCCATCGCAAAGCAAACAGAGACAATGTTACCCAACCGCGCCTTCCCCCTCGGCATACAGCTGACTTACTTCGATCGTGGAGCGTCGAGCATATTTGCCCGACGCCCCGGATTCGATTAGGATTTTTAATGGCCTCTCAAAGCCCTTCACGGCTGGTTTTACGACCAGCAAGCCCGGCTTGCATATACGTCTCGTGTTCAAGAGCATGGAGCTCTTGGGAGCTGGGCCCTGCTGCCCTCTGTCTCTTTGAGGTACAACAGAACTCAGTTTTTCCCGAGTAGACCACCCCGCGCCTACTGGTTGTTGTCGCTTCCCCGCGATAAACCAGAGGACTGGTAAGAAGTGGAACGTCGATTCGATGATTCTTGACGCGCCTTGCGCAGGACAACCAATCCGAAGGTGACGGGTGTCTCCACAGACAAGACACCGTGGGGTGTTCGAACATTGTTCGGCAGCTTGGAGCTCTGTCTCCTTGTCCTCAGCATAGCTGAGATCCATCGACTCAGGCCCGAGCTGCTAGAATGCGCATTCCAACCAAGTCGGGCCGACTTAAAGTCGAATTCTGCATTGAATTCCCTATTCACCGCTTTTTCAAAAGGAGACGGGTGCACACGGAAGACTCCTATTTTGGTCACGCCGGTGCTGAGGCCCTCCACACCGTGACCTCATCGTGAAGAGGATCTGCTGTCACACCAGCAATGAGAGTTCGCAACTCTTGGACAAAGTCCACAATTCCTTTTTGCCCAGTCGAGAGCAAGGAAACGCGATCGCATATATTTGAATGGTTTTCCTTTCTTTTCTAATAAATGTCTTTTCTGATGTTTGGATAGCAATTCAATCAACTTCATCAATTTCGATATTTCGTACTTGCACCAATGTACAATGAAACATTTCGTACAATTGTGCCGTAAAGTATTAGCTATATTTGTACAGATTGTGTAACCCCTGATTCCCCCATTAGGACTTCATAAGTAATGATATTTTGGTACAAATAAATACACCGTAGGGCTATGTGAAAGTCGTAGAATTGTACCGCATCGTATTCGACACAATTGAACCATATAAGCTCACAATATTACAATGCTTTTCCCGTTACACTTGCTGTCCACGTATCCCACGGACCTCTCCTTCCCGAAACCCATCACCTTCATCTATACCAGTACTATCCTACTTGAAAACTAGGCATACTTTTTCCCACATAAAAGTACGTATGTACCCCGTTCCATTTTCCTAGGATTCAAGTATCAGATATTTTTTAGAACACAATACATCTGTTTAACTGTAAAATTCAAGATAATGCTTTGGATAACTAGTAGCTACACATCCCATAGTTTACTCCCGTGACTTCTATCGCCTTCGTACAGCGATAGTGTGTTGTGTACGTGCACTGTAAAGGGATACGTACTTCATAAGACAAATTTCTGTCAATGTTCATCAGCGAAATCACTCCTCGTGAACACATACTCCAATTGATGGAATTTCTAAAAAACCTTCGAAAAATACGATGGTCTTGGTATCTACTAACAAGTTCTATCTTTCTTTTAAGTATGATAATTTTTATGCAGACACAACTTTGGCCTCATGTATTTCTTCATCAATCTCGTCAAATGATCTTGCCAACAATCGAGAAAGCACACGATCTATTTGACATTGAAAAAAAGCAACAAAATGAGACTCTTGCGTCAGATTCAAAACTTCTTCATCTCGATGATCTGATCCATTCCGATTCATACAAACAGTGGGCGCCAATAATTCTATCGAAATGTATGCATGGGATGGATAAGCAAGCTGCACCTTGTATGAAAGAAGCCAATATGATCGAAGCTCAAGAACTTATTTATCCTGCATTTCGTCTTAAGTTGCCAACATTTGTTCATTCAAGTATGAAGACCATGTGGATCACTCATTGCCGTCTCGACAATCGGTGGCGTATTTTAACAGATCATTTGTGGGCGAACTTTGCTGTATTTCGTGGTCAGAATATAATCTTTTCGAATGCTGCATATCGAGGAGATCCACCACCAGATATTTGGTCACATAACGCATGTATGGGCACTAATGCTTCCTATATGTCATTTTTGCATGATCTCGATGGTAACGTAACTGAGCAGACTAACGACATAAGCGTTGACACGCTAGTTATTGCTACAACTCCAGATTCGTGGTCTTTTCAGCATTTTATGGATCGAGTTGTGGCTGTCTGGAGTCAAGCACAACTTGTCATCCCTACTACAGCAAAAAAAGACACAGTCATTATATCTGGTGAAACACCTCGCGATGCTATTGTGAATGAACTTTATGATCTGATAGCTGGTCAACACTTTCACAATTTGAAATCAGTGTATGCAAAGCGACTTGTATTCTCTTGTCGTGCGCCATTGTTCCATCCTTTCACAACTATGCGAATTACGGAAACAATTTTTCAGTCGCTACCACCATCAAGTTCTTCACAACGCAATGTCATTTTATTTCTTTCAAGATCAATTGGAGGTAAAACACGCAATGGTGGACGACAACTTTTAAACGAAGTGGAAGTGATGAAAGCTATCTCAGCGATGTTAAATGCAACAGGACGACCAGAACAACTGCAGTATTTCCATCATGACGAGTTTAACGGACTTGAAGATATTGCAACTTTCATGCGGGATCGTGTGAAAATGATGATTGGTCCACATGGTGCAGCATTCTACAATTCTCGATTCGCTCAGCCGCGCACTGCAGTGATTGAGATTATTCCAGATCCTGAAAAATTCTTTAGCCCGTGCTTTTGGTCGCAGGCGCGACTACTTGGTCAAGACTATTCAGTTCATATCGGAACCACTCAAAATGATGCACTTGATATGACACTTGACGATATTGATAGTGTAGTGCAGCTCGTCCAAGATCGATTGGTGTACTTGGATAACTCTTATCGAGTGCAGGATGCGCTTCTGCATACATATGACTGGGATACGGAGGTTCGCCCGGAGGACTAGATTGTGTAGCATCATGTTGGTAGCCAAGATGAGCATTTTTCATGTTTATTGTCTTTCTTTGGAATCGTGTCGTCAAAGAGTTAATAAAGGCATCAAACTTTTACTTGACACCACTATCTCACAGAGCGGTTCAGAAATGGATGAGCGCATAACTGCGAACAGTAGCCTCATGCTACTGAAGCGCATGTTATGGGTAGCCATTTTATACGTCACACGATCACATAGATTCCTAAGTTATCAATATACGCAAACTATTGTTTACCAGTGATGCTTTTCACACACAAACTAAAAAGATTATGCAAAGCGATGATACTGTTCGTTTAGTTAGCTGGTAAAGTCATTTAGTATATTCAATTACTTCAAGCTTTTAGTCATGAAAAAGTATGGAAGTGTAGAGCTAATCATTGTGTGTGATAACGATCTCAAAACATGAAGTTTTTAAAACGTAATTGCTATCTGCATCAATCTTGCTACCCGATACATCAGAACTCAATAAAGATTTTCAAGATATCGATCGAAATGAGCTGAATTAACCCGAGAATTGCGCGGTCAAGGACAATTAAGCAAACATAACGATCATCTCATTTAGTTTCCTGAAAGTCTTCCAACTATCGAAAATGGTGATGGTTGGTGAAATAAGCAGTCTCAATGCATCAGAACGAAGGATTTTTGCGGCCATAGCGGCATCCAAGGTGCAATGAGAGTTGAGTTCTTAGACCAATACAAGAAAAATGCATTGATGGAAGAGCCTTTTGTCTATATTTTGATATGTATCTGTCCTTGAAATGAGATGTATTGACTCATTAGAGTTTGCTATAAAAACCGCAGTCGCATGTTGTATTTGATTGGTATATTTGCGATCGACTATACCCTACAAAAGGCAAAGTTTGTGTCAAGGTAATCTACACCTCTTTCATCCAGTCTTCCCGTTTGTTTTATGATGTAATTACTATATTCTCCATACCTTGGATCTGACTTTACAAAAACTTACCTTGCAGTACTGTTGAGAGAGCTCTTGATTCGATGCGCTTTCTTTTTGTACTCAAGTACTTCGCAACAAAGCGTCAACTTGCGAAGAAAGACTATCAATATCTGAGTTAATATTCGCCCCCAATGGTCATCTTCCGTCAATGTCGACAGCATACAAAACTCCATCAAACACCTATTTAGTCATGTGGAGGACAAGTCTCCTTTATTATAAATCAAAATTTTGAATTCTACATATGCAGTGCCTAAAACAGTATTAGACGTCGACTGCAACCATGAAAACATTCATAGAATGCAGTCGGTAACGATCCACGAATGCAAGAAATGTCTACTACCATCGTGCGACTTGGTTAAAGGCAAATGCAAAGAGCCGTTCATATGGCATGAGCTGAGGATCGGTTCGTACATATTTGCTGTCGACGAAGATTGCTGAATTTGCTGTATGCTTCTCTTTTTCAAATTTCGAGTTGACTATGAACAAGGTCAAAGAGCATATAGCTTTGTGCGTACTGAGTATATGTCTGTGTTTGGGAGAAGTGTTTTCAATCATCAAAAAGAAACACATCTCGCGTGTTTTTGTTGGAGTAAGCGATTTTTGCAAACCGCTACACTCGTACTGGTTCTAGGTATAGAACGAAGGTCCTTGACGTTAACCAAGCTTCCTCTATGCGAAAGAGCTACGGCAGCCCCGCTACAATCGTCATCCACCGCCGACTCTTCTCGACGAGAATGTGGTGTTCTCAATCACATGGAACGTCTTGTGGATCAACGTCGTCGCTATGGTCAAACCAATTATCTTGTAGCGTGGCCGGGATACTCCGACTTCTGGAACTCGTGGTACTATGAAGTACCACTTCGGCAAGACTGCCCAGACGTCGTGGACGCTTAATATCAAATAGATCATGACGTTCTGCGTCGTCGTACGCCACGCGCTTCTTTGCAATAGCCAGGGAAGCCGACGGGCATGACCGGGGATCAAGCCATGTCCCTGTGCTGTTGCGGTCGCAGACTTATCCGTGGGAGAGACTATAGAGCAAAAGGGAGCGTGATAGATCAATACATACGTCCCAAGGCGACAATCCCTAGTAGTCGGCGACGCGCCTTGAGTTTGGCAAGCTCAAACCAAAGATTAGTGTTCAAGTGCGCATCCACGTCCTTGTGGCTCAACTGTAAGTTACACAGCGAGGAAAATTTCCGGTGCCACTCTACCCATCGCTCAAAGAACTCTACGTCATATGCAGCGGTTTTGCCGGGAGCGAGCACCACAGCATTGAGGGTACAGGATCGTCTCTTCTTTGAACACGAAGTCGAGTTGCGGGTACAGGATCGCCTCTTCTTTGAGCACGAAGTCGAGTGCGGTACGTATCCAGCGGGATTTCTTGCGAAACTAATAAGCGAGCTCGGAGAGCTTTTCGTTCGTCAAGCTCAGCTTGTGTTGTGGACGAGCCCCGATTACGTAGACCCCAACAATCAATTGATCGCGTACTCTGCTTCTTCAGCGGGATCTGCCGAGCGGAAGCCGCATTCCACATGTGGGGCAAGGACGGATCGTGGAAGCGCGCGCAAGAGAGCCGCCCTGCAGACAGCATCCAGCTGCTGCTTCTGTGCCTCGTCGAGGTCATTGGTAATGACACCACTTCCCCCGGAGGTTAAGAGGTCGGGAATCAGACACGGCATCCGCAAGATCTCACGTTGCGCGGCTGGGGCACCTCAGCCCTCTTCTTTTCCCATCCTGGGAAAGGAGTCTCCAACTCGTAGTCGACTTCGTTGAAAACTTCGACGAGGTGATCCATCGCCCGTGACGGGCGCGGTGCGCGGTCAGGAGTAGACATCGCGTCTGTGCTGTTAGCCGTGCGACCCTGCCGCTGACAATGCGCTGCGCGATATTTGGTTACCGAGAGTTCGGGGTTGCACCTCCCTTGTAGCCGCAAACGTGCTGTCCAAAGTTGCACCGCGTGCAGGAGATGAAAAGGGCTCTACCCGCTGGCGTTCTCGGAGCCAGCGAGTCTGGGTGTCTTTTTGTCCTCGACACCGGGCTCATTGAGCAGAAAATTTGTGAAGAAGGTCCTGGTGATGTTCTGGTGTTTTAGACACACGAGCCTTGTTCAAGGCGACAGTTGAATGTGGACTGTAGGTGTTCACAATCCTGGTGGAGGAGAGTGTAACGGGGTTTCACGTAAAGGGTGTGAATAACACAAGACGGTGTGGGTTACTCAAACATGATGTGATCACACAATGGTATGGCGACACTTGAACAAGAAGTCAGTAAGTGGCTGGACCGTCAGTAGTTATACATTTAATTAAGTTTTCCTATCTATATAGGAAACCTTTAGATTTAAATATTAGCGGCTTTGCCACAAATAAAACCAAGAAATACAGTCTACCTTTGAAACGGAAGAGTCAGTTAGCCTTGGGTTAAGATTGTAATCACTCTAGTGCGATCCGCTAAACTCGTATGGTGACAAGTATAGAACGAAGGTCACCGACCTTAGCTTAGCTTTCTCTAAGCGAAAGAGCTACGGCAGCCCCTCTACAACGTGAATCTCCGTTACAATATCAGTCCAACAAAAATATATGAAATGTGTTTCTTTTTGATGATTGAAAACACTTCTCCCAAACACAGACATATACTCAGTA